AATTCAGGTCTCCAGATGTGGACTGAATTCAGGTCTCCAGATGTGGATGGCAAATGCCCAGAACCTTCTCCCCAGCTACTAATACTACTGACGTCATACTTGCTTTATTTTCTTTTTGCCTTTTTGAGACAGGGTCTCATAAAACCCATACTGGTCTCCAATTCACTGTGTAGCTGGGGATAACCTTGAACTTCCTGCCTCCACCTTGATCCCTTGGCCTTTACCTACCCAAAGTGATTACTGGTCTACAGGAACACACCCAGGTTTAAATATTTTCTTATCTGATAACAATGTTACCACGTTATTAAGGATCTTTTGTTACTATTTGTGATACGAACAATCTCTAGGTATACAAGAGAGACACAAGAATACAGTATTAAGGTGACCAAAGTGCCACCATGATAGAACGTGAGGAGAAGGAACTTCTCAAAGCACGGTTAATAATGCTGAGAAGTGGGCAGAAAGAAGGCAAGCATTCACATTGGTGGCTGTCAACATGTGCACCCCGAGAATGGTGCCCTTATTACACCACTACATCTATTTCCAAAGAACAAAGTAATCTTGGAAGCACGTGGAGTCCTCAGAAACACATTTCTTTCTGAGAGCTGTGACTACACGTATGTCTTGTGTGGTAAATGGTGAAACCTCAGGCCTTGGTCCCCCAGCCTCCCTGCTCCCTAGCCCTCCTCCTGACCACTAGCCCTCCTTCACAGAAGCCTTCATCTACCCTTGACAAGGCTGTCCTCTGCTCATTGTACTGAGTGACATCACTGTGAAACCTTCTCCAACAGCAGCACAAACCAGATCTTACACATCTGCCATGCTTTGTCTTGCCCACGGGCATGAGTCACTGGCCGATGGAGCTAAGTGTTGTTCGTTTTCTAAACCCACAACTGACTCATATTAGAGAGCCATTAAATGATAAACAAGTGCAAGAATTGTGGGAAACCGTGTTTTGTTTCTTTCTCTGTTGTTATTCCAATTTTTAAAGGGCTACACAGAGCCTCGTGCATGCCAGCCAAGCGCTCAAACACTGAGCCACATGCCTAACCGCTGTTTTTCGTGACAAGGTCCCACTGTGTAGCCCAGGGAGCCTCCTCTCTAACTCATGATCCTGTAGCTTTGGCTTCTCAATCTTAGGATGACAGATGTGTGCCACCAGGCCATCTAGGAGTAGTTAATAATTTATTTTATATGTACGGATACTTCGCCTGCATGCTGCCTGTGAAGTCCATGAGAAGGCACCAGGAACCCTGAAACTGGAATTCCAGACGGTTGTGAGCTACCATGTGGATGCTAAAACCAAATCTGGGTCCTCTTGTAAAGCAGCCAGTGCCCTTAACCACTGAGCCATCTCTCCACACATAAGAGCGGTATTTTTAGGGTAACTGATTCCTTTTCTTAGGTCACTCACCTAATAACTAATTAAATACTCAGTACAGTAAATACTGGTCATTTAAAAATCCAATTTTTTGTCCCTTGTGTTTGCTGTATTCCAAGAAAATCACTTTTGAAAAAAATGTGCATCACATATATTCGAGAGCAGCCCCTGCTGTTACTCACTAATGATGAATCTGTAGAGTCCCACCCTTGTACTCCTCCTTCTAACGTCTTACTTCTACTCTCATATTTTTTTAAATCTAGACTTTGCATCTGAGAAAAAATATATTTTTCATTCTGAGTCTGGCTTATTTCACTTAAGACAGTGCCTTCCAGTTTCAGCTATTTTTCCATCTCTAACATAATTCATCCTTTTTATGGCTGAATAATACTCTGTTGTGTAAATATACGACATCATTATCCACTTACCTGTTCATGGGCACCAAGGCTGATTCTATAACGTGGCCCTTGTGAAAAGTTGCATAAGTAACACAGTTATGCAGGTATCCCTACTGTGTATGACTTGATTCCTACTGTGTGTGGCTTGGATTTATTTAGGTATATACCCAGGAGTGATATAGCAGGTTAATATGATAGCTCTATTTTGGGTTTTTTTTTTTTTGAGAAATCTTCATTTTTATTTCCGTAGAGGTTAATCTAAGTTACATTTCTTCCAGGAATGTAGAAGGGTTCCTTTTTCTCTACATTCTCACTAACATTTGTTAGGAATTTCTCTTTTGTCTTATTTTTTGTTTTCTTGATGATTAGTCTTCTGATGGCGGTGAAATGGAAACTCAATGTAACTGTTATGAGATTTATATTTTATTATTTTAAATCATGTGTGTGTGCGTGCATCTGTGTAGGGATATGTACACAAGAGTGTAAGTTCCCATGGAGACCAGAGACATCAGGTCACCCGGAGCTGGAGTTACAGGCAATTGTGAACAAATGTGAGTGCAGAGAACTAAACTCAGATCCTCTGCAAGAGCGGTTATATGCTCTTTATGACTGAGCTATCTCTCCAGCACCTCAATATATTTTTGATTTATATTTCTCTGGTGGCTAAAGTTATGAATTTCTTTCCATATATTTGCTAGCCATCTGTACTTCTTTTGAAAACTGCATATTCAGTTCATTTACCCATTTATTGACTAGAATATAAAATATATTTAATAACTATTCACATTTGGATATAAGTAACTGATTCTATATTAAACTGTTTCATCAACCAAATAACAAATGCTTTAGGTTAGCTTAATTAAAATTGAGTTTTTCAACTGAGGTTTATTTTTCTTCCTCTACTGAAACTACTTAGCCTCAGATCATGCTAAAAAAATTTTTTTAAAGCACAGATTTATAAATATTCCCTAAATAATATTGTTTTGGTCAGTGTTCTATAGCTATAAAGAATACCTAAAGATATATACACACACACACACACACACACACACACACGGTTTATTTGTGTCTTGCAGTTCAAGATCTGAAAAGTCTAAGATTAGTAGCCACCTCTGGTAAGGGCCTTGTACTGCTTCCTGGTGGAAAGGAGAAAGACAACCAGGCACCTAGAAAAGAAACACAAACAGATGAGCTTGCTCTAAGAGCTCTCTCTCATGGGGCTGGAGAGAGCGCGACAGTTAAAAGTGAGTACTGCTCTTACAGAGGACCTGAGTTCAGATCCATGTCTGTAAGTAGAGCTCCAGGGAATTCACACACACACACACACACACACACACACACACACACACAGAGAGAGAGAGAGAGGGAGAGAGACAGAGAGACAGAGAGAGACAGAGACAAAGAGATGGAGACAGATAGAGAAACAGAGACAGAGATAAAGAGAGATGGAGAGAAACAGAGACAGAGAAGTGAAGAAAACTAAAACTAATACAGATAGTCTGTATCCACTTGTAACTGGGGCTCCTGGGATCCAAAGATAGACTCACATGCGTGCATGCACACACACACACACACACACACACACACAGAGAGAGAGAG